CCGGTCCGTGAAACTTACACGTTTGGGAAACGCTGATCTACATAACACTTTTCGTGAAAGGGGTAGCACTATTCTTGGCCCGCCTCAGGCGGCACTAACCCTAGCTACGCCTCTGCGTTGGACAATGGGACAGGTGAGCATGGCGTTGCGGGGAGGGGGGGCACCTAAAAAACCCCACCTTTTAGTCTATTACTGGTTTTAAAAAAACTCATTAAATTACCTACTGCATGCTCATGTGGATTATTGTAACTTCAAAGCACCGTTCATGGCTCATGAAGCTAGGTATTATAAATTACACAAGCGCAACATATTTGAAATCTGCCGACTTTTATACCAGTGCACTGTGCACCTCACACTAGCGCAACCATCGTGCTTTTGTTTAGTTATTCGTTTTTAAAATATAATTTTGATATAATGATTATAATGATCGTAGTTAATAATTCCAAGGGAGACCACCCAGTTGTACCAGATGGACACCCATAAGTTACGGCCCTTTCAGCACAAGACACGATGGTTTGTCTCAACCAGTGGCGTAGATATAGGCTAAGCTTTTTGCCCTTCCCCAACCCTTGCCCATTTCAACGAAAAAAACTTATGTTGGGTGCCCATCAATATCCGTAGGTGATAAGAAAGAAGTTTCGTCCGGGGTGGACTCCCCCCCCCCCTTTGCCCCCCTTCCCAAGACACAAGTCTCAACACAGATTCGATGCAGAGGTCTTATGTGTGTTCGATGTAGTCGTAGAGGTTTGACTTGCGTTAACTTTCGAATGTAGAGTTTCCAGGTTTGGTGGCCCTCATGCGTGACGTCTTGTAGTCAGAGCCTTATTCACTTTTGGTAAGCCTGGAGCAACCGCTTTAATGGTCCCGGCTAGCACACTGGCAACAAGCTCCGATGACTGCCTGGCTGTGCCGTGTGTTCCTATATATAACTTGACCCCTTAGGACGGGCCAGGGTGGCAGGCGAGTCCTACAGGTGTAGATTGCTATTGTACAACCTCAAGGTCGGTCAAGGTTTGGACTCAAAGTCCAACTTAATTGTAATTCGTCTACCTCCCAAGGCAAAAATAAAAAGGGGGGGGGGGAGAGGGGCAGAGTGAAAGTAATGAGTCCGTGCAATTTAGTTTAGTGTTAATGCGGCCCGCTACATGACAGCAAAGTTTAGTGTTAATGCGGCCCGCTACATGACAGCAAAGTTTAGTGTTAATGCGGCCCGCTACATGACAGCAAAGTTTAGTGTTAATGCGGCCCGCGCGTTCTCCTTATTCTCATCTCTATAATCCGTATGTAAGTATAACCGTCTATCTGACGGGTTCAGTCAAATCTCAGCTGCTGGTCTAATTCTGATTGTAACTCTGTTTGTTTAGATCTGGACGGTGATTAGAATGGTGAAAACGTTTTTAAGGTGGACTACATTTAAAAAAAAATTATTTCATGTTATGAGACAAACATGGCGGCCGAAGTGCGTTTTTGATAAAAGTTTTAAAAGTCAGTTTGTAATGCAAAAACCAAATTGCAGAATGTGTAAATCGCAGGAATCTGACACAGTATCAAAGAATCCCTATTACAATTCCCGCTAGTGAGTACGAGTGAGGGAAATTCCGAGCCTGTCAGTTTGGTCACTTTCAAAAGGTTGAGTCAAAAAGGCCTTTCATTTCTACGATACAAAAATCAAAATGCATGCTCCTTACAACTACAATACTATTTCCCTTCGCGTCAATAAGTCATAAATATTTTCTGCTCCTGACTACTGTATGAACACGTTTTAACCTTCAAAGCCTTCATGGAGACGGATGGGGTGGTTGTTCCTGTACTAAGTGATCCCAAATGGCTCATGGACTCGGCTTTTTTTGTTGACATTACACAGGAGCTGAATGTACTCAACAAGAAGTTAAAGACCAGGGGTAGCTTGTCAGTGTTGCCAATGACAATGTCAGGGCATTCTGCACAAAACTTGTGTTATGGTACTGTTACGTGCCTGGCCCCTTTTGTTTATGTACCCCATTAGACTGACCAGGTCAGATTAACACAGCCAGGGAGCACGATGTCTGTACCTGATCACGGCCACCACCAACCTCGATTTAAGCTGCCCGTGACCTATTTAATGGTCAAGCACGCGAAATGAATATGCCTTATTATAAGACTGGACGCATCGCCCCTAGAGGGGTAGACGAAATGAGGAGGACAGAGAGATAAGTGGTCAGCGGTCCGTTGCAATTGCTTAGTACTAGATTAGGGCCATTTAATAGTTAGTAGAAATATTAATTCCAGGAACTTAGACTAGTGATAGTATTGTGTGTTTTATTATTACTGTGAGATTTAGATAGTTAGAATTTTATTCGTTTCTTTATATGTAGATTTCATGTAGGGTATCTTTGTTCACATAGTCATAGTATTCCATGTAATTAAGTACATTTAAATAGTGCACTGATTGTCTTCATTTTAGCCAATAGTGTGCCTAAAATCGACCTGTGTTAGCCCTCTTTTCTAAACCCCTAGACCACGAGCTTGTTCAAATTCATTGAACACATAGGGGGCGTAACTACTAAGAGAAACCTTTGCCATTTCACAACATGCAAAGTACTCATGGACTCGGGCACACTATTCAGTAACGTAGTACTGATGCCATTGCAAAGCTACAGGAAGAATTTGATCACGTGTTTGTAGACTTCAAAACACAAAGAGCAACTTTTTGCTGAGCCTTTTTCCTTTAAAGTGGAAGATGCCTCCTCCCCCCCCCCTCCCTCCCTTTAAAAAAAAAAAAAGTAAATTTTATTTTTAAAAATGCTTTAAAAGGAGCTGATTGATCTTCAGTGCAATTCTAAATTCAGGGAGGTGAATGGAAAAACAGAAAAACATGGACAAATTATGAAAAAAGGCAACTTTTTTGATGGCCTTTTTTCTTTAAAGTGGAAAAGACCTCCCCCCCCCCCCTCCCCCCCTTTAAAAAAAAAAAAGTAAATTTTATTTTTAAAAATGCTTTAAAAGGAGCTGATTGATCTTCAGTGCAATTCTAAATTCAGGGAGGTGAATGGAAAAACAGAAAAACATGGACAAATTATGAGAGCATTATCCTCCACATTCCCTGAGATTTCCAGGTTGTTAAAGCGGATCATGTGCCTTTTTGGGGGAGTACCTATCTGTGTGAAAAGCTCTTTTCCACTGTGAACTTTAGCAAGTCAAAGTTCAAAGCAAAACTTACTGATGGGGATCTTCAAGCTATTCTGAGGGTCTCAGTTGGCTCTTCACTCAAGCAAAATTTTGTTCAGCTGTGTAAGAAGAATTTCTACCAGGTCTCCATCAACAAGGAGTAGGAGGAAGAAAGTGTAGCCTTGTTCTTGAGAACCCTTAATGATTTTGTTTGTTATTATTAAAGGTTGAACACATTGTAACAGTTGTCCTTAATTGAATTTGTAGTCGCTTTTTTTGTGGAATACCTGCTGCGGCCCTGGATGATTTGAGTTTGAGACCCCTGATATACAGGGTTTATAGGTCAACACAAAGTTTTAGTTCTCGAAAGATGACCCTTGTTTTTATTTTGATCACTCGAGACATCGCGTGATTTTCTGAGGATGCCCTCATGCCACTTTTCGATTGTGTGCCCCTTGTTTGTATTGAAAGCTAGCGGTAGTTACAATGTCTCTCCACATCAAGACTGGGATCCTTAAACCTCACAGGCCTCATTGCAGTTACAGGGCCCGAGCTACAGTGAACAAATCAACAGTCAAGCGTGCAATAAACAGCCAGTAAAAATATAAGCTGTTCTGTTCAAAATGCTGAAATAAAATCGATCTACCTGTCAGCAGTTAGGGGTCGTTAGCAAATTATGTCACGCTTGAAATGACCTTTTCATACCCACCTCCCCCTGTCACAAAGTATCACAAATTCCCACCTCCCCCTTTTTTTTAGTGTCACGTCACACCTACAAGATACCATTTTCATAACTAAACTAAGATTTTATTACATTCTTTAACATTTTCCCATAATGGATTAAGGTGTAGAATTATTAGAAAACTGTGACGTAAAACGAAAAACAAGGAAGTCATCTCGGAGCCGAATTTGAAATGGCCACAACAGTTTTTGTGTCATTTTTCGAGATGCTCAGGAGGTTTTCGCGACCGAGTTTCACGGTACCTATAATACCTGAGGCACTTTGGATCTTAAATTAATGTTTTCAAAAGAATTGAACTAAAGATTTTTCAAAATTATAAATTTTTATATTTTTAAATAACGCAGAATAATTTGCGAAAGACCCATGACAGCTGAACAGCCAGTGAATTTACAACCACGACTACTGGTTCAAAAGTTCCGCCTGCAGACAACAGACTATGACCTTGAAAACAATCCTCCTGCATATGAGACGATCTTAGCAGTCGCAGGAACTGCACGTTCCACGTGACGGCTCTATATTTTTGTTTCTAAATTGTTTAAAGAAATATAACAGTTAATTACAGCATTATGATGACCGTTTTTTTTCCTTCCTTTTAATAAACGTTATCTGGAAAAAGATATGCATTTCACACCAATAAATTATTCTATTTTCCCACAGATAAACACGAATCGACGCACAGAACCTGCTTCAAATTAGCTGACGTGAAATCTCTTGGATGGCGTCTTTTTGATTTTTCACCGACGAGAAGATGGCAGAGTCCAACCATCATCAGCACTTGAGAACCCAGGAGCTCGGCAGCAGCTATGAAGATCTTTGCACTTTCTTTGAAGCCGTGGCACTGGGTGACATCCAGCTCTTGCAGGACTTTGTTACACGGAAAGCAGATGCGCACCGTGAAACTTTGCAGTGCAATTATGTTGGAGAAATGAATCAAGATCCACTGAACACAGAGTTGCTTAGCAACGCAGGCCCGGAAATCGACTCCACACCCCCTAGGAAGCAACAAAGGGATGAGCAAAATTATGTGCCTCGTCAAGTCATGGCAGTTGACGATGGGGCATCACGTGAGACCCGTCTCTACAAGTTAGACGTAAATGTCCTGAACAAACATGGCGAAACTGCCTTAATGGTAGCGTCCAAGTTTGGTAGGGTGGCAGCAGTAGAGCAGCTTCTGCAACTCGGGTCTGATGTCAACCTGGCGTCCAGCCGGGGAAATGCCTTAACGTACGCCGCTGCAAATGGACATAAAACCTGCATCAGGCTGCTGGTCAAAGCTGGGTGCAATCCGAATACTCCCGGATCGAAATGGGACCCCGCAGTAATGACCGCAGCGCGTTCGGGGTACACCGATTGTGTCAGGGCTTTACTAGAGGCAGGAGCGGATCCCGACGCCAGAAACCACGCTGGTAAAACGGCGCTGATCACTGCTACCCAATGGGGTCACTTCAACTGCGCCAAGACTTTGCTCCGCTTCGGCGCCAATGTGAACTCAATGAGTGCCACGGGAGACACCGCCCTTAAATGGGCAGCGCGGGGAGGCAACACGTCACTTGTCCGCCTGTTGGTGCAGTCCGGAGCAGAAGTCAATACACCCAGCACTGACGCCACGACACCTCTGATGTTTGCGGCACATGTTAGTGCCGCGTGCGTCCGCGAGCTCATCAGTGCAGGGGCAGATTTACACGCCAGGAACACTAGGGGACAGGTTCCGTTATTCTGGGGCGTGAACAGTGGGGAGGTTGATATTGTGCAGGCTCTTATAAAAGCCGGCGCCAATGTTAACGCAGTCTCCACGAAGGGACATACGCCGCTGTTCTACAGTGTCAAGAATGGGGACGATGACATGAACAAAATACTCATTGCCGCGGGGGCAAATGTTAATGCCAGAGATTTGAAAGGCAAAACGCCGCTTTTGAGCGCAGTCCAGAACTACCACGTGGATTGTTTCAAGACGTTGCTGCTGGCAGGCGCCGACGTTAATCTGGCAGATCAAGCTGGGAGATCGCCCCTGATGGTGGCCGTGATGAGGCAGTTCACCGTGGCATTCAACGATCTTCTAGCGGCTGGGGCTTTGGTCAATTGGAAAGACAGCTCCGGTCGCACGGCCCTCATGCTGGCCGCCACCATGTGCAGCGCGGCGTACTGCAAAGACTTGCTGGCCCACGGTGGTCGCGTCAATGAGCAGGACAACGAAGGTGTGACGGCACTGATGCACGCAGCCGAGAAGGAGATTCACTGCGACAGCGTCAAGAACGTTCTACTCGACAGCGGCGCCGATGTCAACATGGTGGATCTCTCCGGGAAAACCGCTCTGATGCACGCCATAAGCTACAACAAAAACCTTGTCTGCCTCAGGGTTCTGACCAAAAACAACGCCCTGAACCACCAGAATACCGCCTTGGTTCACTGCCTAGAAAGCGAGAACAATCTTGCATCATTGGATAAGGCCGCTGTCCTCCTCAGTGTGGGATTTCACCCCGTTATACCTGAATTTTACCGCCCTCTGCTGCTCCAAAAGTTCCTCCTTGCTAGCACGTGCCGGAATAAAACCTACGTTTGGTCATTTAAGAAATTCATTCTTTACCGCGAAATGGAGATGATTCGCCTCTTTGTGTCCAATGGCGTCGTGCTACAACGAAACGGGAAACGTGCGGCATCCGGAGCGAGCCGTTACGCTAACATCGCCTGCGCACTTTCAAAGGGGCACATCAACCTTGTCAAATATCTTATCGCCAACTGCTACATCTTTCAAGAGGATTTGAATTTCCTTTGCAGATCCAAGAGCGCGCAATGGGATACTTTGTATCGAACTTACTCGGCCGCACTTGGCGATGACAAAGACCAACGGCTGTTTTTGACCGAACTAACCAAACAGCCTTGGCCACTAGTCAAGCTCGCGTTCATCGCCGTGTCCAGCCTGGTCGGCTCCAGTCCGGAGAGAGCCGAGCGTATCCGTGGATCCGGTCTCCCTTCACGGCTCCAAGCTCTGCTAAACTTTCAGGGGCCGGTGTCCACGCTGCCGGTCAGGGAGTGGTCCGAGCTGAAACTAGCCTTTGATCCGCTGGCATACGCGAAGTTGGAGAAACAAAGACCTCTGCTGTATTTCTGGCCGTTTGGGAAAGAGATTACGGCACATTTGAAAAGTGACGACGCCGTAATTGCTCCTGCGGATCGCCAGGTGGTCATTCGGTTTCACAAAGCAGTGTCCAGTGATGAAGAAAGCAGTTCCGACGAAAGCAGTTCGGACGACAGCAGGTTTGCCGAAATCAGTGCTAGCGACAGCAGTTTTGACGACAGCAGTGTTGTCAAAATCAGTTCCAGCGACAGCAGTTTTGACGACAGCGCCGATGACGTTTAGCGCGCTACTTGTCACACAGAGAGTGGTCCACGGAGTTGGTCCCCCAAACAGGGAGGGGGGTCCACAGATTGGGAACCATCTTCAATCAATGACGACACTTCCTCTTTACTCACTCTGCATCGGAGGTCCCACTCTGCATCGGAGGTCCCCAACACCGCTATCAGAAGACAGCTGCCTTAAAACCAGCCGTGTCACACTGTGAGGGAATTAGTTGTTCAACGATTACACTACTGACAAGACCAAACGACGAGCCAGACACTCGGCTGTGTCAAGAGGCACAGGCTGTGTCAAGAGGCACACGGCTGTGTCAAGAAACACTCGGCTGTGTCAAGAGGCACTCGGCTGTGGCAAGAGGCACTCGGCTGTGTCAAGAGGCACTCGGATGTGTCAAGAGGCACTCGGCTGTGTCAAGAGGCACTCGGCTGTGTCAAGAGGCACACGTGAAACTGAGGGAGGCAATCAATGGCTCTTTGTTTTACCTATGATACATATAGTTAAATACTTAACATAACAATTTAAAAAAAAATGTAAATTACCTTACAAAGATTTTCAGATTCTTCAAAAAAATGTCGAGAGCCTTCGATGCAATTAATCAACAACGGAGTGAGAGGTGGTTTTAAAAAAAAATGTGGAATGATATATTTATTAATAATGCTAAGTTTGCATAATACACCAATATGGTTATCTTATACAAGTACTAATAGTGAAATTGTTAGTGTATATTGACTCAATATACACTGTGTTGAGAAGATAGATAGTCATACTGTGATTATCATTATCCTAAAATGGCATATTGTCCTAATCATTGGATGTAATACTGTGCTATTCCTTGAATGGCATACCATGTTGATCATCGAATGGCATTCTGTGAAAACCATTGCATTTCATACCGTGCTAATCATTGAATGTCTACAATGATAGCAATGATGAATGTCTACAGAGATAATCATGGAATGTCATATTGTACTTTGATATTCTATGAAAGTCACGCTGTGCTAATCATTGAATGTTTTTATGGATGACATATTGAAGTGTCGGTATGTTTGATTCACCCTGTCTTCCAAACTTTGAAAGGTGCGTGGTAAGACGCTATGACCGACGTTGACACAGCTGTGGGGTATGAAAGATGTGGACACAGCTGTGTGGAGCACCTAGTATGGTATGCAAGATGTGGACACAGCTGTGTGGAGCACCTATATATATTTATATAGTACGGTATGCAAGATGTGCACACAGCTGTGAGCGTGCCATCTGAAAGATGCGGAGACTCTTGTGGCGAGTAAGAAAGATGTGGACACAGCTGTGAGTGGTATGAAATATGTGGACACAGCTGTAATGGGTATTAAAAATGTGGACACAGCTGTGAGGGGTTTAAAAGATGTGGAGAAATCAGCAAGGGTATATAAGATGTGATGTATATCTTTGTGGGAGTATGAACGATGTTAATACAACTGTGAGGGGTATGTGTGATGTGCATACAGCTGTGAGAGGTATATATATGATGTGGATGCCGGTAGGTGTAAACACCATACATTGTGTAAAAACAGAAGAAATCTTGTTCCTTTAAGTTTATAGTGGTTCGGCGAAAACGTCATCGAATTACATGGACTGTATCTTATTTTGATTGTATGTTACTTGGATTGTATCTTATTTTGATTGTATGTTACTTGGATTGTATCTTATTTTGATTGTATGTTACTTGGATTGTATCTTATTTTGATTGTATGTTACTTGGATTGTATCTTATTTCGATTGTATGTTACTTGGATTGTATCTTATTTTGATTGTATGTTACTTGGATTGTATCTTATTTTGATTGTATCTTACTTGGATTGTATCTTATTTTGATTTATGTTACTTGGATTGTATCTTATTTTGATTGTATTTTACTATGATTGTATCTTATTTCGATTGTATGTTACTTGGATTGTATCTTATTTCTATTGTATGTTACTTGGATTGTATCTTATTTTGATTGTATGTTACTTGGATTGTATCTTATTTCGATTGTATGTTACTTTGATTGTATCTTAATTTGATTGTATGTTACTTGGATTGTATCTTATTTTGATTGTATGTTACTTGGATTGTATTTTATTTTGATAGTATGTTACTTGGATTGTATTTTATTTTGATTGTATGTTACTTGGATTGTGTCTTATTTTGATTGTATGTTACTTGGATTGTATCTTATTTCGATTGTATGTTACTTGGATTGTATCTTATTTCGATTGTATGTTACTTTGATTGTATCTTATTTTGATGGTATGTTACTGGGATTGTATGGCACTTGTGTGGTATATTACTTGGGTTATATGCTCCTTGGAGATATCTCATTCATATATGTTTGTTATGATGAAAATTAAAATAACGTACTCAATATAATGTAGCAAGAGTTTCAGTTTGGGGACTTATGTGTATGTACTTTGTACGTATCAAATATTTAATATAATCTAAAGAAATACTCAATTGAATGTCAACACTGTGTCATATTAAAGCTTTAACACTTTTTCAGAAGTGACCCAAACAGAAGACACTGTGTCAATTAAAACTTAACCATGCATATTAAAGTGCAGACTATTTCGGATTAAAATGACCAAACACTGTGTCCTATTAAAAAAGTCAACAATGTGTCACGTTAAAAATGCGTTACGCTGGAGAGTTAAAAATTAACACAGCTGGTAGAGGAGTGGGGCACAAGAATGATCATTTGAAAATAAAGGAGTATCATTGATTAATTAACATTTTTGGGGCTGTAAGAAAAATTTCCTTCCCCTGTGATAACTAAAGACCCTGCCCCAGAGCTCCGAGCTCCTCTTGACATCGTTGTAACTAACGGTGTAGTGAATGCCATCAAGGAAATTGTACGGTAGCTCAACTTTTACGTCACCAAATGAAAAGTGAAACTATTTAAATAACAAACAAAAAACAACCCCACGCATACTATATACTTGTCTCTTGCATCAGAAGGCAACCACAGAGAATTAATTCTGCCGCTTCATATAAGTTCACGCGCTATATAGGCTGGGAACCTGTGATCTAGTAACTTGATTATACCCGGTACAAGACTATCTATTTCGGGAACCTGTGATCTAGTAACTTGATTCTACCCGGTACAAGACTATCTATTTCGGGAACCTGTGATCTAGTAACTTGATTCTACCCGGTACAAGACTATCTATTTCGGGAACCTGTGATCTAGTAACTTGATTATACCCGGTACAAGACTATCTATTTCGGGAACCTGTGATCTAGTAACTTGATTCTACCCGGTACAAGACTATCTATTTCGGGAACCTGTGATCTAGGAACTTGATTATACCCGGTACAAGACTATCTATTTCGGGAACCTGTGATCTAGGAACTTAATTTATTCCCGGTACAAGACTATCTGTCAAATTTATATATATTATATTAGAGACCGACCGAAAGTGATTTTCTGATTTCGGCCGAAGCCGAAAATAGGCCGAAAGTTTAAAATGACTTTTGGCCGAAACCGAAAAAAGGCCGAAAGTTTAAAAATGACTTTCGGCCGAAACCGAAAAAAGACCGAAAGTTAAAAATGAATTTCGGCCGAAACCGAAGCCGAAAATGAAATATTAAGATATTTTGAAATTCGTTCCCGCATACATTCTGCTTACATCGAAAATGATGTGGGAAAATATAAATATTTACATTATTTTTTTATAAAAATGAGATAATCGTCAATATTAATAAATAAAAATCTAATTTAGGGTTCTCAAAGTCGCGGCCAGCGAGCCATTTGTGACCCGCAAGACGATATTTTGCGGCCCGCTACATGACAGAAAAGTTTAGTG